TGAAACTAAACTATCAAACAACTGTTTCTCGTCAAGTCTCGCTTCGATTCCTACGATCTTATATGGAGCGCACACGCGATTTTTAGTTGTGCAACTAAACAGTTGAATGGGCTGCGAAACGATCGACAATCGCACAACAATGTGCGATAGTTTAGTCAACGGTGTGCGCCCGCTCTTATAGAGTGAGCTATTGTTTATCTAATTCTATGAACACAAATTTTTCATCATATAAAATCTTGAAGAGTAAAAACCTATATATTTTTTTTTATAACATAAGGTGGCAAACGAGCAAGCGGCCACTTGAATGGCCGGAACGAACGGCAAAATGGCGAAGCGACCGCCCATAGACATCCGCAATTGCAGATTCGTTGCCTACCGTTATCCGACAGAAGAGGAGACGCACATAAAGAGGATATTTCCCCTTCCTATGCATCTCCTCTACCGTTAAATCCACTTCCCGTTCCTATCCTCTCCTTATAAGAAAAGGGTGGTGAAGAGAAAGTGACTTAAATTAGGCCTCCGGCATCACACTCGTCAGACGAAACACGGCATTGCTTCCATTTTACGCCTGTTTTCTGTGTGGTCGTGGTATTGCATCGGGCGTGCCGGCCCATTCTATTGCCGGTCCACCTATATTGAAAAAAATCCTAAGAGATAGACATACGTATATAAATAATGTATGAATATAGAACGTATGGGTAACACCTGAAGAGTATGAAAGTAAAATAGTTCACACTAATTAAATGAAACCATAGTATTTCAATATTGCAAATGAAAAGCGCACTAACGAGGCATTAAGGGTGCAAAGCGGCTCGAGTACTGCCGGTCTACGGTGGGCGTCAAATGAACGATAATTACAGAGAGTTACGTTGCTTTAAAGATTTTTAATTCACTAATTATCAGGACGTTCACCTGACTGAAATGTACTGAATAGTTCTTTGACTAGATAGTGTTTCAGTGGACATTTGATATATAAATCCTAACACAGCTCATATTTCAAATCGAAAATGCGAAAGGTCTTGTTCCGTGAAAGTCGCTTTTACAGAGAAATTTAACCGATCCTGTATTGGGTCCTATACTATGTAGATTAAGGAAAATGAAAGTCGTTTAACGAGCTTTGGTTAAATCTTAACTCTGAGAGATTGGAAGAGAAAAGTAATTGATGCAGAATTAAATGAAAATATGGAATGAGATAACGAGATAAACCAACGCATGATGGAACTAAAATTACAATCAGAATTATTCAATAACGAGTTGTCTTCTAAAAAAAATTTAACTAACCTACTATTTAAAAATGTCAATTTCAAAAACCAGAATTAAAGTCGAGTAACTTTGTTGATAAGAAATAGTTGTGTTCGTTTGTGAAATGGCACAAAGCTATCTCCCATCTTCACCTACGCTTCTGCTACGAAGCCTCGCTCCGGGAATGCAATAACTCACCTACTGCATTAAACTGAAGTAACTATTGGTATAAGTTACAAGCGGAGCGACTAGCGGGCAAACTGGATGTATGCAGTTTATGACATTATATTTCTATACGTTTAGATATCGAATAAGCCGATACAAATTCATGTTCAAAATCATACGTCATCATTTTATCTTAAATAATTATTATCAACACTTTGCCCTTAATTATACTCTATATATTTTCGACTAACACAATCTAAGAGAATACACAAAAGTTGTGTACTATATTTAGTAACTAACGTATCTGAAAATATATTGCTTCCCGCTATAATTTTATAACTTGTACCATACGCTAAGCATTATTATGTTGGTCGCCGGATGTTGTTCTCTGCGCTGCGGCGGCGGGCCATTAAATACGTGGAGCGTTAGAGCTAATATTTTTTAAAAACATTATCGACTTACAAAAGAACTATTTTCTTATAGAAAAAGCTTTTCAAACGTCCTTCTTTTAGAATGGATAGATCGTGTGCGAGAGAATAAGCTAGAGAAAGAAGTGATTTCAATTATGATAGATATGTATGGAAAAGTACATTAACATGTCGACCCTCGAAAAAGAGGTAGATGAAAGCAAAGAAAGAAATACTAATGTAGAACAACATTGACTTTAAACGTGCAAGAGTTAGTTAGCACTTATTGTATAAAACGGAAGTTTCGTGGCCCAAGGCGGAAGCTTGCAGTAGCGATCAATGCATTACGACTGCGCAGTGCACAGGTCGCCGCTCCCGTGACGAGGCTCTGAGCTATATCTAGCACATACCTAGGTCACATATATGTCGCCACAGAGTCTAGGGTTACATATAACCGGATACATAATATATTATACAAAATTAAGCATATAATAAGAATGATAAGTAAACCAGAAAGGTAAAACTATAAGAAGAGCAGGGGTATCTTGAGCCGAAACAGCCAAAGAAAACACAGCAACAAGGCGGCAAAAAGTCGTTTATTGGTTATATACCAATGAGGCTGGTCTGCGCGCGGACCCCGGGTTGGGTACCACACGCAGTTACAAAAAATGTTCAGATATCGGGTAACCGTCACAGAACAGCAAGCGGTTACCTGCTAAATTAGGCCGTCACTATCCGCAAGCAACCTAATTTAACTACACTACTGTGCTATTCTGAATAAAATTAGTCACAAGACAGCAAGCTAATATATTCAGAATCGCGTTGTAGGAACTAAAGTGGAGAAGACAGTAACTGTTTTCCCTTTACTTCTCTCATTTGCGTAATGTACTTGAAATGACTTAACATAAGGCGCATGTGATACAACATCGTGTTTTAAAATACAGGTGGCGCCATCTAGTTTTGTACGTAAAAACTACTGGTTGCAGTAAATGTTTGTTACAAAACTAGTTATTCTTACTTGCAAATTTTATGACCAACAATAAATGCGGTACACCTTTTTTTGGTGTCGAGGGGAAATCCACTAAAACCCCTTTGATGGATTCGCAATTGAGTTCTGGGATCTCCGTGGAAGTCACCTGAACCCTCGGCACTTTACCACACAATACAGGATGTTGCCTGATATACCACAGGGTAGCAATATAGGACCACGATATAGCACCGTCTTCCCGAGACCATTTTGATGCACGATCAGGACCTCTCTAATCGCCGATAGCCTAAAGGTCCCTTATACTTAAGGGACTTTTGGGCCATTGAAGGGATAGACAGTATACCTAGATATGTTACTACTTCAACTTTTGAAGGACTTATTGTCTGTTATAGTGACAGCCTAAGCACTAGGCAAGTCTAGCCATTCTGTAGGACAAAAGACTATCGGCTTACAAAAGCGCGTTCTTTGTAATTCCTTTTGTTACGTTGTTTTAAAATGGAACAAAAACTATGACGTTTATAATGAACTAGCTATCGCCCGTGACGTATTAAAAAAACATAAGTTAGGAGCTTCTGTGTTTTTCCTGACTATCCTCTACATCTATACCAAATTTAATCGAAATTCTTTTCGCAGTTTAGGCTACAAACTTTAACAAATATCCATCTAAACTTTCGCATTTATAATATAAGTATGAAGTATGATGGACCAGAGATGGACTAATTGAAGACCAGACCTAGTCATGTCAATGTCAAAATGACATGACGTGACAAAACTTGGCAATCTTGCTTCCTTGATGTTGGCAACTTATGGTCTTTTTCCCACATTAGGGTTTTTATCCAAAATATTTACACCCTAAGTTTAATGTCGTGAAAATATATAGCCTAAAGCGTGACGTAAGTGTAGGGCTTTTCATTAAAAGAATTATTCAAAAATATGCTGTAATCGCTGATATCTTAGGCAACAAAGTAGTGTGTGTTTACGCTTTATTAGAATAGTATAGATAATCACGAGTATGTAAAGACTCAAGCGACGAAGAAGATGATGGACGAATTGAAATTAGTCTTGGAAAAGTATGAATTTGAAATAGAAATAATCTATACTTTATTTATAGACAAATGTTTTATTTTCTTTCATTCTATATATTTATAGTTCGTTAGTATTCACTTCAGAGTGCAGACGGTGACTTTACTGTACTAAAGAGCTACGGATTTACGTCTTAACTTTTTGTCTCATCTTGGTAATTATTTGCTTTTTTATTACGTTTTTGAGGTTGAACTGCTTATGGTAATAGTGTTTCTTGTTGCTTTGCGATTAAAGGATGGTTTTAAAATTATTGTATGAAGTAGGAATTAAATCATGTTGCAATATGGTTACGTAATTCAGTTAATTCTAATTATAAATGATGCAATACTTTACTCTTTTTTTTGTTAGGTCTTTTTGTAATTGTGGGATGTTTAATTTTTATATTTTGTACTGTGTTATTAATTAATGCATTTTGCAGCATCTTTGTAAAGCAAATTATTAATGTAAAAGCGCGTTTACACCTTTGAATAAACTATCGCAAAACTGGTTAGTCTCGCTTTGATTGTGATGAGTTTATGTGGAGATACGCACACTACTCGATTTTTAGTTGTGCAACTAAACAGTTGAATTGGCAGCGAAATAATCGACAATCGCACAACAGATAGTTTAGTAAAATATGTGCGCCCGCTCTAAAGCCACATATTTAATTTGATGTAAAAAATAATATAAGCTAGTAGTTTTAGTAATTCATGTTTAGTAGGACATAGCAAGTTCATCAAACAAGCAATCGGAGTGGAAGCAAATCGGAAATCCATTTCGAATTGGACTGTATCCGTGCTGTGATTGAGTGCGACTGGATGTGGGATAACATCAGTTGTGTATTGACTTAAGCCGCTTTTCCACCAGGCGAGTTACCGCGCGACTCTAGCACGACAAACTTTTGTAAATTGCGTCAAAAATATCTGATATCTAGTTGTAATAGCGTCCCCGTTTCAATGCCATAAAAATGCCATTAGATAATTGTCGGGGTAACATAAATTGATCAGGCTATACTTTGCTTATTGACGTAAAAGCTAGATCCAGGTAAACGTTGCGCGGTCGCACTAGTGAAAACCGGTCTAACGATAGCGTGCTATATGCGCCATCTGTTTTTGAACTCCGTACTAATGACTTACCTTCTGTTATCAAGGTAGTTGTCGTAGACGTCAGCCATGCTTTTGTCGTCATGCATGTCGTAGAGGTCACTATAGATGGCGCTGTCGAGGCGCGAGGGGTCCAAGTGGTAGTTAGGATTCTCGTAGGAGAGTAGACCATTCTCTGCAACAAAGGAAATGTCAAATTTATAAAGTGCAAACTTTCGTTTCTTATAAAGACGAAATGGGTAAGTGTCGGACGACGGCTCCTACGGAAATGGTAGTAAGACAAAAATAAAATTTTTCACAAGACCTATTTATGTTAAAATGACATGACTTATCTTTTTACCATCAATTCATAATTAGCTTATTTAAAAAAAATAATCTTACATTGATTCAGTTTTATTGCTTAATTATTTAAACTGTTTTTTTCAATAGAAGTATGTTAATGTATCACGGGTCTCAAAACGTGTCCAAAGAGGGTGATTATAATATGAACTGAGACAGAGGTTGGCAACCGTGATCGGAAGCTATGTCGCCAGACGTCTGCACTTGTCGGGCTTCGTAAGCCGACACGGAAGCCGTACACATACCACATCTGCAGCATATTACTGGTGAATACCTTTATGTACTTTGAGTATATTTCTTAAAATCGAATATTTTTAATGGGTATACCAAATTAAATACTCAATAACTATCACTCAACTGTTTAGTCTCGCTTTGATTTTTAGTTTGTGCAACCAAACAGTTGGATTGGCTGTGAAACAATCGACGATCGCACAAATGTTGTGCGATCGTTCAGTCAAAGGCGTGCGCCCGCTCTTACTGCTACTGCTGGTGCGTTAGTACTTTTATGACATGCACACAAAATAAATATAAACGACATCAAGTTGTTAGGAGACAATATAGTAAATAGTAATTGATTCTATTTAGGTGCTAGAGGTTTAACCACAGTTTTAAAGATGTTATCCATCAGTATGTCATGAGATTAAAAAATCTTTCTCGTTTTCTGCTTACATTGTGTAAAATATCTTGTAACATTGTTACGGACATAAACGGAAGCTTAACTCGTTAGGGAGTCGGGTTACCGGGAATGCGGCTAGATTGTGTACTGCACGTTTATTTTACAACCCTACGTCGTATGTTCAATGTTTACTGTACCTCTTAAAATGTTACTGTTATATCGTGTTAATGTGTTACAACAAGAGATTTCGTTGCAATCCAAAGCCGAAATCGAAAAATTATAGAAAAATTGCACTCTTTTCGCTTGAACGCATAAATTCTTAAAATATTTCTATTTTATCTGCGCTGGTATCAGTTTCTATCTTTAACTTTTTCGTTAAAGATCGCTCTAAATTAAAGTAAACAAGAAGCTACTAAATGTATAGAAAATCTCATTCGCACTACATGGGTTTATAGATTACGTGAGTATGATTTTAAAATACCATAAAAGCAGGTAAGCTGGACCGAGATGGACCACACAAAGTTGTCGCGCAATCTGTAACATCGCTAACAACCCTAGTCCCGTAACGGTTATGTCCACGGCGTTACGACAATGTTTCCTGTATGGAAGACGGGCTTAGGGTTGTCAAATATGTTTCTTTTTAAAATTTTTGGTCTTTGTTTGCGTAACTATTAAAGTAATGTAAGGATTTTTGGGAGTAAATTACTATCAAGTATTTTAATTTACAAAGTGTACACTGAAATTTTGTTTATCTGAAGTTTAAAAACTATAGACACTAGAGAAAGTAATATTGCCAAATCTAAAAGGATACACGTAGTGGTAATAACATTTAAGGAGCAATAACCGGAGAGGTAGCGATTGGATAGACACTATTACATACCGTATGTTCTAAATACAGCACGTAAATGTACATTTGTTTCGGTATTGACTAGAAGAAAATTAAATTTCACACCACTAAAGTTATAAGAACATAACAAACATTAAAAATAGCACATGCACTTTTCAAAATCGAATAAATTCACGTCAAACAAGTAACGTGTCCAAAGAGCAAAAAAAAACAGAGGAGACGGTCTACTCATTTGGCCTTGTTTATTTCACGCTGGCTGGATATTTTTGTTTTAATTAAGTGTGAAATAATCGTTGACACTACGCAGTTGCTGTGTGCAAAGAAAAAAAGAAATTAGTTGCGGTCCAATGAGAGTCAAGGATTTTACAATTGCTTTTGTTGAAAAAAATTATAAGCAAGAAATATGGATATTCTTCAGGTATAGTTAATTTTAATCAAATACAATACCCATCATTTGTTTTTAAATTAAATTTCTGACCCTTCTACCCTTTCTTAATCAATATGTTAGCAATTTATGTAAAAAAACATAAAGTGGACATGCAAAACGCTTTGCGTTTGAAACGCACGACATTGAAAGTTCTACTTGTATGTATGAAATGTATGGAACGTTGACCGTGCACTATGAACCTGAAATTGCATGTCTTGGATTATTACTTTTATTTACATTGTTATTTTAAATGCATTTCTTAACATTAATATGCAATTAAAACATTGACATTTGCATCATATTAGTGGAAATTAGGGTCACTACATTCTTAGGTTTACAAAGGTACTTTTCGGTTCTTTCTGTTCACTAAGGGACACACTTTACAGGGATTTTTACACTAAGGTGTATTATTAAATCTACGACTGCTAATAACTATGTGAATTGAAAAAACTGAGATGAAGTTTGTCGCTAAACATACATACATATTAAAACAAAAATACATCACCAATAGAACGTTTTACACCTCGCGTGTGAAAACAGGTAAATAGTAAAGATTCAAACAGTACAATTCCCTATAATTGCGAACAAATCCTGATCGATAAGCTGCTCATTAACAAAACACCGAGCTATAAAAATAATTGAAGCCAACACGACAATTATGCAAATAACCTTTAAAAGTTGCACAGAGGGCCCATCGCCTCAGGCTCACTAATCTCTTGAATGTGCAAAGTTAAGTCGTTGTTAACGTTAAAAGCCAATTCTAGTCAGGAAATATCTTGTGAACGTTTAAAAAACGTGCATTTTGTATGTATAAGGTGAAAAAACATGTTTAAACAAATTACTTTTTCTTCTATACAAACTCTTAAATTTAAATTAGAATTATAAATATTTTAACGTAATATCGTTTCTCTTCAAGTGCCGTACACTAAAATTGCTCTCACAAAAAATATAATTTTTTGAGTTACAACAATTCGCATAGGAGCTATTTATTGTGTATGACGGCTTTCAAATAGGAAGCGTATCACCTTATTAAAGGGCAGCAACGTTTATACTTCTGGTATTGCCTGTCCTTGGGCGTTGATCACCTGTTCCCGCTGCCACCTCTCGTATAAAAAAAAATGTGACTGTCAAAAGGGACTACGGTAGGAAAATGATGTATAAGGGATCACATATAAAAACTATAAATGGTTTCTTTGAGGCAATTCCTAAACGATGTAGTTTGGGGAAACCTAATAAGGGGCTTTGTCAACTTTAAGTTGATGCTTTACCACTTGATGGTAGGGCTACTACATACAAAATTTTAATAAACCTAGTTGAAGAAAAATGTTACTCAATATGATGCAAATTCCTTAAATATAATTCCAGCTTATCTTTTGGTAGTCATTTTGTTTTATACATATTCTACTAAGCTAAGGGCTTGTCCCACCAAATTTTCTGTGTGATATCAATCCAACGTGTAAAATATGTGATGCTTATCTGACAGTGACGTCATTTTTAAGCTATCTGAGCCTATATTAGCCAGTGGTGGGACATGCCTTAAGTATTATTTATAAAAGATTACAATGTTATTGAAAAATAAGATATTAACATACATATAGGGTTGCACAAGGATAGGCTTTTATAAAATGTAATCAAGAAGACATGTTATTTTTAAGTTGTGACAACCCTGGGAGCGCGACTATTGATTTTCTCGCGACCTTCTGTCCGTCGGAGCTCTCTAGTCGCGGCACGTACGCTACTAGCGCCGCCCCCTGACTTCGCTCGTCTCCATCGATCATTGTAACATTATATCATAAAGGTACAAAGTTACTCAGTATAACATTGGAATAACGGTAAAAATATTAGACATTTCTTTCTTATGGATTCTTAATTTGGTGCTTTAGCTGATATAAAGATTGCAAATCTATCTAAAAACATGATACATTGCTTTGAAAGTAGTTAGAACTACTGAAAATAAACTATCGCATAATAGTTTAGTCTAGCTTTGATTCCTGTAATGAGCTATGGATGTGCGCACACTACTCAATTTTAGTTGTGCTAAAACAATTGAATTGGCTGCGAAACAATCGACAATCGCATAACAGTTGTGCGATCAGTCAAAAGTGTGCACACACCTTTAAAATAATTTTCCGATTGGTGTCAACGATTGTATATTGTTTTCGAGTGTACTAGTGACTAATAATTGAATCGTTTTCAAGCCAAGTTAGACGTAATTTCAATTGCAAGTACATATGCGTGCACAAGACTTGAGCAGACTACATTACCTACTTGTAACAAATGACTTACAAATAAAGAAAACTATGACGAAAGTGCAAGTTACTGTTTGTTTCTCGTTACTGTCTGCATTCAGATTCTTTTGTTTGAATAAACGGAGTTTTACACTGCAGACATGTGCGAAAATATTTTTGTTTTATTCTGTACTAGCTTTCGCCCGAGACTCTGTCCGCGTGGGATTAAAAAAACAAAAGTGAGTAGCCTATGTGTTCTTCCAGACTATCCTCTACATCTGTACCAAATTTCATCGAAATCTGTTCAGCCGTTTAGGCTACAAACTCTAACAAACATCCATCTATCCATCCATCCATCTAAACTTTCGCATCTATAATATTAGTATTACTGTCTGCAATCAGATTCTTTTGTTTTACTAAACGGATGTACACTACAGACATGTGCGAAAATATTCTTGTCCTATTCTATACTAGCTTTCGCCCGCGACTCCGTCCGCGTGGGATTAAAAAAACAAAAGTGAGAAGCCTATGTGTTCTGCCAGACTATCCTTTACGTTTATGCCAAATTTCATCGAGATTCGTTCAGCCGTTTAGGCTACAAACTCTAACAAACATCCATCTAAACTTTCGCATTTATAATATTAGTAAGATAAGATTAAAAAATCGCCCGCTTGAAACTAAGAAAATAACAAAAAAGATAGCCTTTGTTACTCGCAGATAAAGTTGCTTTTTAATGGTGAAAGAATTTTTGAAATAGTTCCAGTAGTTTTTGAGTTATTTCTATACGTACGAAAATTCAAAAATACAAATCTTTCCTCTTTATGATATTAGTATAGGTAAATAAACTGAGATGTTTTAAAGGTTCTAAATTCCTCTATTTTTGTTAATTCAGATGATATTTTTGTCTTTTTTTTTACCTAATAATTATCTTTATAATACTGATTTTAAAATATTTTGTTTCAAAGCTAGTGCTTACATGAATTTTACGGCAGTGTAATCTCACGGTTAACAGTACATTAATCAATGTCTTATACATAACGTATAGCGAATAGTTTTGAAACGTTACAGTCAGAATATATGACTTAGTAAGCCCCTTCGTTCACGAGGATAATATTGAAGTGTTCAATACAATGAATACGTCGCGCGAATTGTCTACTAGTTTGTGGTTTAGCGAATATTCGATTTCTAATCGAATATAAATATCAGTATTTATTTAACTACTTCGTTTTAAGTACAAAAATGGATCGATCGCTCTCTAAATTATCGATGTGGTTTTTTAATTATAATTACGTTGGGATCGATTAAATTTAGATTATATAGATTTCAAACAGATTCAAAATTACAGTTTAAAATCAATTTACGGCCGAATTCTGAAACATGAACACTAAGGATGCTTTTTTATTTATTTGAGTAAAAGAAAAATAGCACAAGAAAAAAAATGATACAGTTACAATTCAGAAGTTTTGAGTAGTTGTGCCATCCACAATTTTACCACGTAGTAACTATAATATATTATTTATAATTCAAAATTTTAATAATCTCTTTATTAACTTTTTTCTTATTAACATGTATTATATCTTTATCATTAAAATTACTAATATAATAATTGAGAATTCGGTTAATTGGCGACCGCAATCCCACATTGCTTCGAGACCAGTTTGTCGAAAAAAGTTTTAAAACATTTCTGGGATGAGCCCTTATGGGGACTCTGTGCGATATTTACTTCTGTACTTATTATGAATAACGTATAGACGTTGTTAATATAAATATTTCAACATTTGTCCGTTAATTAAAAATGTGCTACTTACTTTCACGTTTGTGAAGTCCCATGTTGTAATCCGGCTGAACTAACACACATACATAGTTGTGTTAAGTCACTTTCTATCACATTTCACTTAGCACTTCACTAATAATAATGTTAGAAACTTGAGTGCACTTTAGAAGTAAATGTTCTTGACGAAGTTGAAGAAGCAAAGTTCAGAATGCCTTAGAGAAAATACAATTGTGTTTAGAAATAAATATTGAAAGGTAAAATATAACTTATCTATCGCCCGCGACACAACCATCTGTCTGGTATTAAAAAAAACTAAGTAGCCAATTCATTCTTACAAACTATTCTCTACATCTATGCCAAAAACTCAAACAAACATCCAACTAAACTTTCGCATTTATAATATTAGTAAGATCAACAATATTTTAAAATGAAAATGTAATTAAAACAATTAGTAGTTTACAGTAACAAATTATTTTGAAAAAAATGAGGGAATCACGAGTATCTTTGTTTAATATTTGTAAAAATAGATGGCGTTAATTTAAAAAATACTAATTAGCCAGATTTAGGAATAACGAGAAATAAAATTACGTAGATTTAAAAAGTCTATTGTAGGTATGGTAAATATTTAAAAAACAGGTTAAAAAAGGCGTTTTACATGTCTGGAAACTTTCAATTAAAACATTTTTTTTAATAAACTTTACGGAGCGTGGTTACAGCCTGTGCGATATTTCAACATAATTAAAAAAATCATAATGAAAGAATTTCCGAGACTCGTATCACATTCGTTCAAATGTCATTTTAATTAATGACTCTTACTATAATTTTATTATACTAGCTTTTGCCCGCAACTCCGTACTCGTGGAATTAAAAAAAAAAACAAAAGGAAGTTGCGCCTATTTGTTCTTCCACACTACATCTATGCCAAATTTTATTGATATCTGAGGTACTGTCTTTTTTAATTCTGCCCGGACAAAGTTGCAGGTAAAAGCTATACAACTATAAATTTAGGCTTTTTCTAAAACATATGTATTTTTAATTTTTCAAATAATCTTACTTTTATTATAAATGCGAAATGGACGGATATTTGTTAGAATTTGTAGACTAAACTGAACGGATCGCGATGAAATTTGGCATTGTAGAGCATAGTCTGGAAGAACATATATTCACTAATGTTTTTTTTTTAATTCCACGCGGACCGAGTGGGCGAAAGCTAATGTGGTATAAAGTTTGCCCTTTTGTTAACTTTTGAGTAATTTTGATCATCAGAAACAAATTATTGCATATTGTTAGCTACAATATATTCAATGCATTCATGTTTTTAATTACCCATTTAATTATTACCTTCAACATGAGGTAACAAGCAGGTAACAAGCGTTTCCTTTGAACACGTAACTCTTGTTATTTGAACATTGTGCGGAAAATTACAATACTGGCAATACTGGGATGTTATAAAATTCAACATGTATGTTTGCTTTAGTATTCGATAAAAAAATATGACGTCATACCTTATTGTGCTCGTAGTTTTGAAATAAAAAATCTCTGAATGAATTTGTGTTGCTGTGTTTTATTTCATTTTAAATATGTTTTGATATGCTATGAGTAGTAATGTTTTAAAAAATAACACTGTATTCACGGACCCTACATATCTACAGTGGAATATTATATTTACAAACATTTTTATTTATTTAAACTAAATAAAAATAATCAGAAAGTCTTATGATTGATGGATGGCTACAAAGGCAGAGGAAGACCGAAGAACGTATGGATGGATTGAGTGAAAGAGGATATGCTTAAGAAAGGAGTGGATTCAGATATGAGCTGATAGAGATGTATGGAGCACATACTGTGCCGACCCTCCGTAAGGGATAAGGGCAAGTGGATAATTTTTATTTAGATACACGTTAGTAATTCAACAGTGATAAGAGCTCGCGTACACCTTTGATTAAACTATTGTACAGCTGTTGCGATTGTCAATTGTTTCGACAACTCGACTGTTTAGTTGCAGAACTAAAAATCAAGTAATGCACCTTCGTATAAGCTTATAGGAATCAAAGCGACTAAACAGTGTGCGATAGTTCAGTCAAAGATAAGCGGACTAATTCCTAAACACTATATGTATAACTAACTATCGCCCGCGGCTCCGTCAGCGAGGAATTCAAAAAAACAAAAATAAGTAGCCTATGCGTTCCAGAATACCCTCTACATCTATGCCAAATGTCATCGAGATCCGTTCAGCAGTTTAGGCTACAAACTCTAACAAACATTCATCTAAACTTTCGCATTTATAATATTAGTAAGATTTTGTTTCATTCTCAGCGAAGCGTGTTACATTCAGAATTAACATAACCTTGATAATACGCGGATATTTAAATTCATGTTATACATGACATATGTCAGATACATTTGCATTCTGTATACGAAATTTTGCATACTCTATACTATTATAATAAAGCGTAAACACACACTACTTTGTTGCCTAAGATGTCAGCAATTACAGCATATTTTTGAATAATTCTCTTTTTAATAAAAAACCCTACACTTACGTCATGCTTTAGGCTATATATTTTCACGTCATTAACTTAGGGGGTAAATATTTTGGATAAAAACCCTAATGTGGGAAAGAGACCATAAGTTGCTGCCAATATCAAGGAAGTAAAATTGCTATACTTTGTCATCATGTCATGTCATTTTAAAATTGGCAATTGAATTTGACAAATGTAATCAATAAAACAATTATCATAATTTCATGCGAATGAAGTCGCACGGGAACAGCTAGTCTTACTAAAATAAATGCGAAAGTTTAGATGGATGGATGTTTGTTAGAGAGTGCCTAAACGGCTGAACGGATCTCGATGAAATTTGGCATAGATGTAGAGGATAGTCTGGAAGAACACAGGCTGTTTACTTTTTTGTTGTTTTTTTATTCTATTCGGCTAAAAGCGGTGTAAAGTCACTGGCCGCTAATTATTTTATATCACGGGACAATTTATTCAAATGTGACGTATTGGATTTTATCACTATTAAAAAAAAAACATAATTATGTTGCTTTTAGTTATTGAAATAATTCTTAAAAAATATACTACAATTTAATAAAAACAAATTTAATTTACTCTATTACTATGAACTTCTAATTCTTATAACAGTAGTATTCCGCAAAATAAACTATTCCGTTTTTTTTTTGGGCAATTTGTAAGACGCTATAGAAGCGCTATAAGGCTGGTTGTTATTATATGGAGGTTGATGACCCTATATACGCCCTGAATTTGTACAGTTTACAAGAGAAAACTGTTCGTACTAATTTTAGGGAATAAAAAAGTAGCAATCTCATTGTATTTTTATTCCAATTCAAACATAAAAAAAATCTACTAAAACCAAATCGAACTAACCTTTTTTTTTTTTTTTTTTTTT